TCTATATATTCAGTGGGAATGTCAATACCTCGAATTTTCGCAGCTTCATTGAAGAGGAAGAATAAAGATCAGTTTCATTCCAATACTCGATAAATTCATTATGATGAAGTTGGGGGACTCAACTAGCGTCACTAGAAGTTTAATTGGATACTATAATTTGTGACAACGTAACTTCCTCTAACTGCATAGCTTGGTTTCAACTGGAAAAAAGAGAACTTTTTATCTGTATTATTGCATTCTCTTCACATGATAATTAAGAGAGCTAGATTTGATCATATTTGTTACTAATATTCTTGCATGTCCACATCAATAGAGCAACTTATTTTGGAAGAACGCAAAACAACAGACACGCCATACCAATAGCCTTGTGCAGCCATCCTTAAAATTAATTTCATCTCTAGCTTCTATTATAAAAAATAAAAAAAATAAAAACTAAACAGAAAAGGAAAAAGTGAATAATAGTTTTAATCACTAAAAAGCAAAAGAGCTACATATCTTTCATTTATAATTAGGAATTCAAGTGAGAATGAAACATGCATGAAACAGGCAAATTAAAGGTCACGAGCATGAAAATGAGAATCTAATTAGGATATATAGATATCAACGTAGCATTTTGCCATGACACTTAGAGCCTGTTTGGACATACATTTTTTTTTGCTTTTTTTCAAAAAAAATAATTGAAAACAATGTTTGGACATACAATTCTTATCATTTTTTTCCTTTTTCACTTGAAAATGGGAATTTTCAAGTTTTTAGATTTACAAATTTACCCAATATTTTTAAATAATAGCATTTTGACTGCTTACGATATATATTTTGTTGATTTTTTGGGCTGCTACTTCTTTTTCTTTGTAATATCTGCATCTTCTTGATGCCTTTGGCTAATAATATTCACTTACTTCATCAAAAAAAAAATAGCATTTTGATTGTTTATTTCAAGTAGGATAATCAAATTGGGGTGGTTTTGATATTTTTTACAAGTTGTAGGGTATTACTCATATTTTATGGTTTTGAAAAAAAAAACATCCAAATATGTTACAAAAATTATAACCAAACACTAACTTCATTTTCAATTCAAATTTTAGTTAAATTCCAAATTTGAAAAAAAAATTTGGAATCATGTCCAAACGCCTACTTAAACAAGAAATGTGAGTGGTTTAATTTATCAAGGGATTAACCAGATAACAAAATTTTCTAGCTTTAAAAATGAAACAATAGCTATCTTATCACAGTGATAGATAAGCGAGAAATGGTAGCAAATATCCAATTATGTGCAATGCACAAAACAGAAAATTTTCACATCATGAATCTTTCTATGGCATCAATGACTAGTATATGAGACCAACATCAGAAAGCAACTCAAAGTAAAGATGATGAAGAAGATGCATTGTTTATTTTATATACTTTATACTGTAAAATACTAAAATTAAGATTATTAACAAAGGATCAATATCTACTTTCTCTCGGATAATTCACTGAATTAAAGACTTCAAGGGTTAGATTGGCCAATCATAAATCATCTGTATGCAACTTCTACTTCTAATGGCAATATCTAGAGTCAATTACTCAAATGGTCACTCAACTTTTTCAAATTATCTCCGAAAGTCACTTTTCTATCGGTTGTAACAACAAAGTCACTGAACTATGCCTATTGCACTCAGAAGATCACTCAACTAGATTTTTCAAATTTTGGATTATCAAATACCTATTTTACCCTCTAAATTATACATATTTATCTTCTTTAACTTTTCAATATTATGATTTTCCCTTTTTAATTTATACTATGGACTTACCTATAGGATAAACAAATATTATTTATAAATTAAAAAATAAAAAGTATTTAAGCATCTATAATCTATAATGTTGGAATAACAAAATAATGAGCATAGTAAAATTAATTAGAATAATTTGTTCGTAATAATAATTTTAGTCTTAACAACAAAAATTTAAAAATTTATTTACACAATTCAGAATGAAAGAAAATAAAGGTTGTAAAATATATATTCCATTCATATAATATAAAAATAATTATTTACATAAAAGTATTTTTATAATATACATATATATATTCTTGAAAATTTTGTTCAATTATATTATATATATTCCATGCACGATTTAACATAGTATATTTTACCTATACAGATAGTCCCCCTACTTTCCGGTGACATAACTTTGTGTCGTCGAAAAGTTGATAGAAACATAATAATATAATTGAGCATAATTTTCAAGAATATAAAATGTATATTATAAAAATATCTTTATTTAAATAATTATTTTTGTATTACGTGCATGAAATATATATTTTACAACCTTTATTTTCTTTCATTCTGAATTGTGTAAATAAAATTTTGAAGTTTTGTTGTTAATACTAAAATTATTATTACTAACAAATTATTCTAATTAACTTTTTTGTACTAAGCTTGTTATTTTGTTATTCCAACATTATACATGCTTAAATACTTTTTATTTTTTTAATTTATAAATAATATTTATTTATTTTATAGATAAGTCCATAATATAAATTAAAAAGGAAAAATCATAATATTAAAAAGTTTTAAAAAATAAAAAGAAGATAATAATTTAGAGGGTAAAATAGGTATTTGGCAATCCAAAATTTGAAAAATCTAGTTGAGTGACTTTCTGAGTGCAATAGACATAGTTCAGTGACTTTGTTGTTACAAACGAAAGTAAAGTGACTTTATGAGATAATTTAGGATAGTCGAGTGACCATTTGAGTAATGAACTCCAATATCTATGGCACTAAAATTGATTAATCTCACATTATTTTCATATCTGTTTCAAAAATTGCCTGTGACAAAAAATTATGACAAAACAAGATCACTATATTTATCAAGCTCCAAACTACCAGGTTGACTCAAAATAAATCCATATAGCAGCGCTATGTAGAGTTGGAGTTTCATAAGCATATCCTGCCTACCAGACACCTTGACCGAGAACAGACAGTTGACTGAAATGATCGTACAAAAGGATACTCCTTCCGCCCAAAATAAGTGATATTTTAACCCTTTTTTTTTTGTCCAAAATAGGTGATTTTTTCAGATTTTAAGAATGAATTAATATTTTTCCTATATTGTCTTTAGAGTAAATAGTGTTGGAGTATGTGTTAGGAGTGTTTATGTGAAGAGATAGTAAATATTAATATGGTCAATTTTATTACTAATTAATGTTAAAAGATGGATTTCGTAGTCTGCGTGAAAACAACTAAAAAATTACGTATTTTGAACCGGAGGGAGTAATATATTAGTTAATTAAATTAATTAAACTTCATGTGATCAACTATAACACATAAGTCTTAGAACTATTTTTTCCACGTTAAGGTAACTAAACTTTACTCACAACATTTTCAAAACCAATTTCCAGAACAGAAGACCAGCCCAAACAGATTTAAGCCTTATGTGATCTGTAATTTTTGTACGCTAATGAGAGAGTTGTGATTTCAACCACTACTAGAAAAACATTAATTTGTGACTGAAATTTCCGACTGAAAATGAAGTAGTCGCTAATGGGACTACTTTTGCGACTGTTGTAGTTGGAAACAGACTGATTTTTTATTACTTTTTTTTAAAAAGAAATTTGATTATTATTCCAACGAAAGCAGTGGAAAAATAGCAGGCCAATTTCCCGCCATCACTTTTGCGACCGACTCGGTCGGACAATAAAAAGTCAAAAATATTAGTTGACCAACAAAGCGACTGTGTCGGTCACAAAGTTAAAATTAAAATGGTAAAAGAATATTTAAGTGGGTTTGCGACCACGGTAGTCAGAAACCTAAATTTAATATTTCGGATTTATGCCAAAGCCTTATTTCCCAATTTCTGCCGCGCCCTATTTTCCCAATTTTTGGGCGCCCAATTTCCCTCCTCTCTTTCCCTCTCATATCTTTTTTCTTCTTTGATTTCTCTTTCATTTCACCCGTGAGGCTGATTGATCTTCGAGTTCATCTGTGCGACTGACAGAGGCAAACGACTGAAGGAGACAAAAGGCTGACAGAGGCAAACGGCTGAAATCTTACGGTAAGAAAAGATAGAAGTAATTAGTTTTGTTTGCTGGTCACATTATTTTTAAATTGTTGCAAATTGAAAGCTTCAATGCGCTTTTGTCATGTATAGATTTCCATATATGAACTTTATTCATAGGACCAATTGACTTTTTGGGGTACTTTGTTAAAGAAATCTGCCTGTGGTATACATTATTGATAGTAATGTCCACCATGTCTGTAGCATTTCTGGCTCCCTCTGCCAAAACTTTATCCGACTATATGCTGTGTCGAACATTAGTTCCTTGTATCGTACCAGCAAAGTAGAAACCTAAAAGAGAATTATGCATCACTGTCTTTGAAGGAATAAAATAGTGGACACACACTTCACTTGCATTCAAAGTGAAATTCAGCTTGGACTTTCAACTTTCTGGTGCAAAAAAAAAAAACTCCACTCGAGTTCTCACGCGCTTTGAGCTTGAATTTAGACAATTATAAAGATACATATTCTTGCTAATGAAACAGAAAGCTTACAATTTCACAGAAGTAAAACAAGGCTTGTACATAAACTCCTATCTTCATATTGATAAGTAAATTCAACTGTAAAAGAGATTTGAGAGAAACATTTTACAAAAGCTGTGCTAGTTATATATGAAATGAACTAAAGACATATTTAATACTCTGGGATTCTAGTAGACTAGAAGTCCTTCCGAGCCCTAAAAAGTACGAGCAAAAATGCATACTTGTTGACAACACTATAGGAGAAAACATACGGTAAATGCTCAACATAACCTGGAATCTGTGATGATTATGTGCAGAGCACATCAGATTTCCATACATTAAGAGTCTAGATCAAAAGTGATAAGTATAAACTGAAGCAGAAGAAGATTTAGGGCTATATTTGACTGCATTATATGGCAATTTACTAAATCATGACTGCATTATATGGCAATTTACTAATTAATATGTATTGTTTTACATATCTTGGATTTATTTTGTGTAGATGGAGCTTGCACATCGTAGATGGATGTGTAATCGAACTTATCCTAATCGTAGTGGGTTGAGGGAGGAATTTATAGAGGGGGTTGCCGAATTCATGGCTAAAACAAAAACACTTCATGAATTTCTCAGTGAAGGGGTGATTAGGTGTCCTTGTATGAAATGCAAATGCGGAAAGTTATTACAACTAGATGTTGTTAAAGTTCATCTTTATAAAAAAGGGTTTATGGAAAATTATTACGTGTGGACTATTCATGGAGAGGATGTTGCTAGTGTTGGTAACGTTGATTTTCAAAATTTTTTGATAGTGAGGGTAGTCCATCAGCAGAGAATAATGCTGAAAATTCTCGATTCAGTGAAATGGTTAGGGATGCTTTTGTGATGCACCCGGGGGCTCAGTCTGAACCAAATGATGATGCTAGGCGTTTCTATGAACAGTTAGAGGAAGCAAGTCGTCCATTGTATAAAGGCTCAATGCATTCTAAGTTGTCTGTCGCAGTTAGATTATTAAGTATTAAATCAGATTCAAGTATTTCTCAAGCAGGCATGGACTCTATCATTAGCCTTATGAATGAACTTAATCCGAATAAAATTGACCTGCCCAAAGATTTCTACACAACAAAGAAATTGGTTTCTAAGTTAGGACTTTCATCAGAGAGGATTGATTGTTGTGAGAAAGGTTGTATGTTATTCTATAAGGATGATGCAGCCTTAGAAAATTGCAAATTTTGCAACCAACCTCGTTATAAGAAAGCCATAAATTCAAAAAAGAAGAAGGTTCCTGTTAAGGCGATGCATTACTTACCCCTTATACCTAGGTTAAAGAGGTTGTATGCATCAATGAGCTCTGCTCCTCATATGAGATGACACCATGAATATAAAAGGCCACCTGGTATTTTGTGTCATCCGTCAGATGGAGAAGCATGGAAGCATTTTGATAGGTTGTTTCCGAATTCTGCTAGTGAACCTAGAAATATTAGGTTGGGTTTATGTGCAGACGGATTCACCCCTTTTTCTGTCTCTGCTACACCATATTCATGTTGGCCAATGTTTGTTACGCCGTATAATCTTCCTCCTGAGTTGTGTATGACAAGTCCATATTTGTTCCTAACTTGCATTGTTCCAGGTCCGCGCAATCCGAAAAGTTTGATTGATGTATACATGCAACCTTTAATTGATGAGTTAAAGTTATTGTGGCATGAAGGTGTGGAAACATATGATATATCAACTAAACAAAACTTCAGATTGCATGCTGCTTTGATATGGACTATAAATGATTTCCCTGCTTATGGAATGTTGTCCGGGTGGTCGATTGCAGGAAAGTTAGCTTGCCCAACTTGTATGGAAGAAACAAAAGCATTCACGTTGAAACATGGAGGAAAGAATACATGGTTTGACTGCCATCGTCGATTCTTGCCTATGGATCATCAGTTTAGGAGAAATACTAGTGCATCTATGAAGAACCAAACTGATTTTGAGGAGCCACCGTCACCATTGTCGCCAGAAGAAATTTGGAACAGAGTTAGGTTTCTACCAAAGGTAACAGAGTCTCTAATGTCTAATAAAATACCTGGTTATGGTGTTACGCATAATTGGACTAAACAGAGCATATTTTGGGAGTTATCTTATTGGAGGCATAATCTTCTTCGGCATAATTTAGATGTCATGCATATTGAGAAAAACTTTTTTGACAACTTGTTTAATACAATAATGGATGTCAATAATAAGACAAAAGATAACTTGAAGGCTAGGATGGACTTAAAGGAATATTGTAGGCGAAGTGAGTTGTACCTGACATACTTGAACAACAAGATTCAGAAGCCCAAGGCCAGTTACACATTCACTTTGGATGAGAGAAGAGAGATTTGTGATTGGGTTAAGAATTTGAGGATGCCTGATGGATATGCATCAAACTTATCCAGGTATGTTGATATGAAAGAAGGGAAGTTGACGTCTATGAAGAGCCACGATTGTCACATTTTCCTCGAATCTTTGATGCCTATTGCATTCAAAGCCTTGCCTGATAGAATATAAAAACCCATTACTGAGATAAGTTTATTTTTCAAGGAGTTGTGTTCTAGCACATTGAAGGTAGAGAACTTAGCTTACATGGAAAGTAACATTTGCTTAACTTTAAACAAGCTAGCAAAAATTTTTCCTCTTGGGTTTTTTGATGTAATGGAACATCTTCCAATTCATCTTGCACAAGAGGCACGACTTGGAGGGCCTGTATAATGTAGATGGATGTATCTTTACGAGAGGTAATAACTTTAAATTATTTTTTAAAATTATTTTTCCTTGACTTGTTTTAATTAAACATTATTTCATCTAAAAATTGTGCTATGTAGGACTATTGTAAAATGTAAACGGATCGTAAAAAATCGATCCAGGATTGAGGAATCGATATGCGAGGCACATTTGGCTAAAGAAACTTCTTTTTCTGTTCATATTATTTTGAACATGATGTGCCATGTTTGAGAAATAGGCCAAATCGACATGATGATGGAGGTGTTAGTGATCCTTTGGCACCACCATTTTCCATATTCAATCAACCAGGTAGAGGTCCAAAAACTAGTAAAACGCGAAATTTGACTGAGATGGAGAAAAAGTCCGCTACAACACATGTATTGTTGAATTGTCCAGAGGCCCAACCTTATTATAAGTAAGTCTTAATTTATACTAAATGCAATTATTACACGATCAAAGTTATTTTAACTAATGAAAGCTATAATTTTGTGTGGCAGTTACTTTATAGGTGTAAATGGGCATGATGCTATTTATCCAAGATTTTCAGAGTGGTTTCGGGAGTTTGTAAGTTCTATTTTGTGACTACAAATTAAGTACATGTATCTTTAAAATTCTAACTTTTCTTTAACTTTATATAGGTTCATAATCCGGTGAATGGAATTAATGACCCATTTTTGCGTGATATTACTTGGGGACCTGACCATAAAGTCAAAATAATGTCTAAGTACTTTGTCAATGGATACAAATTTCATACAAAAGAATGGTCTAAGAATAAGAAAACTAATAATAGTGGGGTATGGGTAAAGAGTGATGGAGATGTTGATTATTATGGTGTGCTCCAAGAGATTTTAGAACTAGAGTATTTCGGTTGGCCGAGAAAAAAGTTGGTACTCTTTCGGTGTAAGTGATATGATCCAACACCTAATAGAGGTACAAAGGTTCACCCTCAGTATAAAATAGTTGAAATTAACCCCATGAAAGAGTATGAATTCTATGATCTATTTATCATTGCACAAAATATAAAACAAGTACAATACTTTATCTATCCTTATTTATGTGTTATACTTTTTTTTTAGTCTATCTCAAATAAAATATTATATTTTCTCAAAAAAAATATTATACTTTCTTGTCTAAAAACAATTTAATTCTAATTTTTTTATTTACTCCTAATGAGAAGATTTATAGCCACATAAATATAGTAATAATTTATCTAGACCACAAGTTTCAAAAGTCTATTTGTATTTCAAGTATCTTTATTTCTTGAATTCTGTCCCCATTCAAATACCACACATAAATTAGGACGGAGAAAGTACTCCATCTGTCTCATATTATCAGTCGTTGTTACTAAAAATAGTTGTGTCAAATTATTTGTCATTTTAAAAGTTCAATACAAAATTGATATTTTTTTCTTTTTTTAACCCTTAGTAATAATTATCCTTTAAAAAGTTTTTTCTCGTAGTGTGCAACTACAACTACAAGTCTCTCTCGGTGCATGTTAGCTTAACCTGCGCCTACCATGGGTAAGAGAGCTCATATCCCGTCTCAAAAAGCACTAATGGCGAAGGAGGCAACAGATTCACAGAGTAACGCTCAACGAGGGACTAAAGGAAGGATAGCAACAACTAAAAATTCTGGAAATAAGAAATTGAGCCCTAATGTCAATGGAACAGTTCCAAAAATTCCGAAAAATGAGAAACTTAAGCAGATTGAAGCAATTCAAGTATGGGATGAACTCCAGCAAGCGTCAACAAGCAGTAATCCAATGGTGCATGTGAGCACTGGAAGGAAATCATGGGCAGATGAGGTCGATGAGATGAACAAAGTGCAGGGGAAGAAGAGTTTAGTGTGGGATAACTTTGATATCACAAAAATATCAAATGCTAGGTACAAATTGGAGTTTGTCCAACCTAAATCAACAGAAGAGTTTACTTTTGCTGAAATTGAGCTGGATGATATTAGTACAGAAATTGATTACTAGGGAAATATTGTGATCTGCTATGTGCTTGGGGCTCATCCACCGTTTGCTGTAATTCAAGGCTACATACAGAGGCTGTGGGGTAAACATGGCATAGATAGGATTGCAATGTTAAAAAATAGGGTAATCGTTGTTCGATTTGACACTGCAATAGGAAAACATGAGGTAATTGAGGGTGGCATCTATCACTTTGACAACAAACCTCTCATTGTCAAAGCTTGGACACCTGATTTGGAGTTCACTCGTGAGGAGCTATTAACAGTACCAATCTGGATCAAATTGCCAGCATTGAACTTCAAATTTTGGAGTCCAAAAGAGCTAAATAAGATAGGGAGTCTGGTTGGTAAACCCTAATGGTTGACCAGAACACAGAAAAGAGGATTGGGCTGAACTTTGCTCGACTGTTAGTGGAGGTTAAAATGGATGCTAAACTACCTGATGTGGTGATGTTTAGGAATGAGAAGGGCAAGCTAATAGTGCAAAAAGTTAGCTATGATTGGAAGCCAACTCTTTGTACCCATTGCTTAAAGTATGTGCATGAAGAAGGAGTATGCAAACTCAAGAATAAAGCTCCAAAGAATGAACAAATGAACAAAGAACAGATAACAGACACTCAGGTGGAGAAGCAAGGTCAAGTGCAAAGTGAGAAGAACCATGAAGCTCAGAAAACAAATGTAAATGCCATAAGGATTACTGGAGGAAAAAGGAGCTCTAGGGAAAACACAACAATATGTAGCAAATGAGCAGGGGGTAACAAAGGAAAGAAATGCAGAACAAGGTTGGAAAGCACCTAATAAATATGGCAAGACTGTGGTAAGGTAAAAGGAACAAATGGAGAAATCCAATTCATTCCAGATTCTTAATAAGCAGAAGGGCCTCAATCTGTCCAAGGAGGGGGGAGGGAAGTGATGTGGATGGTCTAATTATCCCTCACAATGGGGATAGTTAGTCTACTAAGATGGAACACTAGGGGGCTTAATGCTCCTAATAATCAAAAGGAGATTAAGCTCCTTTGCAATGAGGAACGAGTAGTTTTAATAGGCCCGCTGGAAACAAAAATTAAAAAAGAAAGGATGGATCAGTTGGCAGAGAAGATGTTTGCTGGATGGAAGTTTGTAACAAATCTTAACTGCCATTACAATAGGAGAATCTGCATCACCTGCAGGCCAGATTACTTCCAGATAATACCTAGGCAAAAGACTACTCAACTAATAACCTGTGAATTATTGTATGTTCCTCTCCAACTATCATTTGAGGTAACCTATGTATATGATTTTAATACAAAAGATGAGAGAAAGGGACTGTGAGAAGATTTAATTACTCACGGTAGAAGATGTAGTAAACCATGGATGGTAATAGGTGATTTTAATTCAGTTCTGAATGCAGAGGAAATGAAGTGACATGGGCTGAAGTGGTGGATTTCTATAATTGTGTGGTGGAATGTAGATTGATAGAATTACCTGCACAAGAAAACAGATACATTTGGAGTGATAAACATGAAGGGCACAAAATCTTCTAAAAAATTGATTGGATTTTTATTAATGAGCAATAGTTTGATACCACGCCAGAATGCAATGCAAGATTTTTGACAGAAGGGATTAGTGATCATTGTCTTGAAAAGGTGACTTTTGTAGAGGAGAGGCAGAGGAGTAGGAGATCATTTCAATTTTGTAATGTGTGGACTCAACATCCACAATTCATGAGCGTAGTCAAAGAGGGTTGAAACTATAATGTGTAAGGGTGCAAAATGTTACAGTAGTAAGAAGACTGAAGATGTTAAAGATAGGATTGAAATCTTTAAACACACAGGCATTTTATAACATAGTGACTGAAGCAAATGAGGATAGAAACACACTAAAGCAGATCCAAGTTCAACTGCAAAGATGTCCTAATAATTTAGAATATCAACAAGCTGAAATTAGTGCATATCAAAAGTTCAGGCATTTATCTTACCTAGGTGAAGTGTACTTACAACAAAGGAGTAAAAAAAACATGGATTAGATTGGGAGATGATAATACCAAATACTTCCACTCAGTAATCAAGAACAGAAAACAGAAGCAGGCAATTACTCAGCTCAAGGACAGCTCTGGTCTTTGGCAAATAGATCCTAATACAATTGCTGGTATGTTTGTTGATTATTATGAAAATTTACTAGGGAGGAAAGCAACTGAAAGGGTGAAAGCTTTTAGTAGTACAATCAGAAATGGAAACAGGCTATCAGAAGCTCAACAACAAGAAATAATGCAACCTTTTTTGGAAAGAGAAGTAAAGCAGGCTATGTTTCAGATTGATAATAATAAGAGTCCCGGTCCTGATGGATTTGGGAGTGGATTTTACAAAGCGGCATGGCCAATTGTGGGAAGAGATATCACTGCAGCAGTCCTGGAGTTTTTTCAGAATGGCAACATGCTCAGGCAAATAAATGCCACTAACATTGCCTTGATACCTAAAGTGGAAGCTTCAGAAAATGCAGGCCATACAGGCCTATCTCCTGTTGTAATGTTCTATATAAATGCATATCTAAAATGATCTGTTCCAGGTTAAAACCAGCAGCCAGTCATATAGTAGCATATAATCAGTCAGCTTTTGTACAAGGAAGGTTCATGATGCACAATGTGTTAATATGCCATGATTCACTAAGGCACTACAATAGGAGGACAACTCCTAGATGCTAAATGAAAATAGACCTTAGAAAGGCATATGCTATGGTTAGCAGAGAGCTTTTGGAGGAAGCTCTAAGAGGATATGGATTTCCAGATAAGTTCATACATTGGATCATGGTATGTGTTTCTACTACTATGTTCACAGTAAAAGTTAATGGTGAAGGACATGGTTACTTTGCTGGAAACTGAGGGTTGAGTCAAGGAGATCCTATTTCTCCATTGCTATTTGTTCTTGTAATGGAATACCTTTTTAGAACTTTAAGGACAATCAGTAGACTACCTGACTTCAGGTTCTATCCAATGTGCAAAGAGATCAAGCTGACACATCTCATATTTGCTGATGATTTGATGATATCTGCAAGGGAAATACTAGCTCAGTAAATAGAGTAATCGAAGCCCTCGATCACTTTAGTAAAGTATCTGGTTTGATTGCCAATATGAAAAAATCTAGCATTTTTGTAGCTGGGGGTGAAGATGATATCAAAGATCAACTGTTAGGAAGAACAGGTTTCACTGCTAAAACATTTCCTATCAAATACTTGGGACTGCCTCTATCCCCTAGGAAATGGAACAAGATGGATTGTCAAATGTTGAATGGGAAGATCACTCACAGAATCAATATTACTATTCTAAGCAATTGTCATATGCAGGAAGACTTCAAATAGCTACTGTTGTGCTCTTCTCTATATATAGCTTCTGGGGAAATGTTTTTATTTTACCATAAAATATGGTGAAAGGAGTAGATAGGCTATGTAGGGAGTATCTGTAGGGGGAAAAGGAGGGACAGAAGAAAATGGCTCTGGTTGCATGGGATAAAGAGTGTTGTCCAAAGAACTTGGTGGGGNTAGTTTTGAATAAGGAATCCCTATGGGTAAGGTGGGTTCATGGGGTATATATGAAATCTGATCATGACATATGGGTTGATACGCCTCTTATAGATAGTAGCTGGTAATGGAGAAAGCTAAACTCAACTAAAGAACTGATGAAGGAATAGTACTCCCAGGGCAGATAGACATTAACTCCAGAAGGGAGTTACTCAACCACTCAAAGCTATTTTGCAATAATTGATCGTCAACAGAAGCTGAAGGTCACAGATTTAATCTGGACAGTTGTAGCACAGCCTAAACACAGGTTTATTGGTTGGCTTGCAACACTTGGGAGGCTGCTAACTAAGGACAAGATGATTGGATGCAATTACAGGTTGAAAACATTAACTGTAATTTATGTAATGAGGACAAAATGGAATCACAGGACCACCTGTTTGTTAAATGTAGCTGGATCAATGCAGTAAGGCAAGAGTTACATCTGTGGCTAGGGCATGCAGTGCAAATTACAGGAATCAAACAAATGCTAGAACAGATCAAAAAGAAGCATGGGAAGCAATTGAAAAAGGAAGTAATAGATGTAGTGAGTATAGCAGTGATATACCATACATAGAGAGCTAGGAACGTAAAAAAATTTCAAGGAAGAACTGTAAATAGAGCAGAGGTAGTTACACAAATTAAGAGATAAGTGATAGAAAGGATAGAATTACTTCAGCAGTCAAAGAAAGCACAAAAATGTAGAAGTTTAGTTAGACAAATTACTTGTAATTAGTTATTTTTTTTCTGTTTGTTGGAGGTCTAAAAGTCTGTAGTCAGATACTTAGGTGCTCTATAAGTGTAATTGTTTGATGATGTCAATGGTAATATTCACATTGTTACCAAAAAAAAAAATTATCCTTGAAGACTACAAACATCTCAATTATGAATAACTGAAGAAACATTAAATAATAAGACATGAATAAGGATAAAATAGTCAAAATTCTATCCTATTTAATTTTTCTTAAGGGACGTATACAAAAAAAATCATGATAAATTATTTGAGACCGGGGGAATTAAATATGAATTAGAACAAAAGACAAAGGGAAAATATGCACTTGTTGCTGCTACGATCATCTCGAAGAGGTGGCAGTGGGGTTATAAGAGCAATACAAGGTAGTTGGTCTTCTTCTCCACACCTATCTAATTGGCAAACATAATTCTCACCTACCTCGTAACAAAGGGGATCATTCTCTTAGTTTTCCTCTCAGTGTCATTTGTTGCAGATAAAGGTGGGTGTACTTTACTTCCACTAATTTTGTCCAAAGAAGTCTTTAGCTACATTACTCTCAATTGACTTTGATTAACATGTAAATTGAGCTACTAAAAGTGGTCTTTCCCTTTTGTATGATGAAGTCATTTTATGTAGAAACCATTTTGCATTATACAGTCAGACTTCTCTATAACATCACCTTTATATAATAATCATTCACTATAAAAGTTAATTTTTTCGGAACTGATTTTAACATTATGTTACTCCCTTCGTTCATTTTTACTTGTCATGTTTTGCTTTTCGAGAGTCAAACTACATAAACTTTGAACAACGTTTTAACATGTATTTTTTCACCATATTGATATGAATTTTTTTTACAAATTATAGTATTTTTCGTATAATTTCCGAATATCTAAATTTTAATTTTATAATATTTTTAAATTCTAATTCAATTTAGCTTCAAAAATTAGTCAAATTGACTCTCGAAGAGCAAAACATGACAAGTAAAAGTGAACGGATGGAGTATAATAAATATTCTTTATAACAATACTTCACTATAAAAGCCAAAAAATATCGGAACGAACGAGACTGTTATAGAGAGTTTTGATTGTATTTGATAAGAAGTGACATGAAAAAACTTTTAAATACTAATTAAGTTAGAACTTGGTATTAATCATACACTATTATGTTGTATGTACTCCTTTATATAGTCCAAGGTTCATAAACTTAGTAACATTATACTTAAATAAAATAAATTGAGTTCAAACGATTGAAAAGGAGATATTTTGATCTTAAAAATGTCAGAATAAAGATTTGAATAAATTCATGTGCCCGCTTCATGCTTGTTACTAGTACTTAATTACTACTATAGGGTAAGCAGCAAAGCTTTTCTTTTTTATTTTCGTTTTTTGTTTTGTTGTCGTTGTTGCTGTATAATTCTTTATACTGTTTTTAGGAGTAAATTTAATTTGCACATAGTTTTGTCTGGCTCACCGGTTTTAAAAAGGTTTTTCTTGGTTAAAAACTGTCTTTAGACATCTTTTTCAAAATCATTTTTGGAAAAGGAAGAAAACTTCTAAAAGACACTAATTAACTATCCAAATACCTTTATCGAGCAATTTTTTTTAACGGAATACTAAAAGATTTTTCTAAAAACTTTAATTTATATACACTGATAGTGTGTGAAGAAAATACTATCGGGTTATATTTATTTGTTGCAGTAAATAATTTGCTTTATTTTCAAGATTAGAAATAACATTTTTCAAGTTACAGTGTATAAATTTATTCATTACACTATCAATATAAATATGTTAAATCTCTCAAAATATTTTTTTCTGGAAAATTTCTCTCAAAATATTGTGCAAATGGGTAATGTGAACACATCATGTTTAGTCGAAAGATGACATAATTAACTTTATCACTAGATCATGGTTCTAGTGTAGTGCCTTAGTTTAGTAGCTCCATTAATGGGCAGCATATTTTATATTTTTCCTAATAATCTTATAACTCAATCGTCATCTGCCGACAAACTTCAGCTGGTTAGTGCTCAAATTTGTAAAAATGTCATTTTGCACTACTTTTAACGTGTCAGTTTACCGTAAAAAGGTTAAAACGATTACATTATTATTAATTTCTATGTTGTTTGGAATATAATATTATAAAAGTACTTTTTACTGGATAAGTTTGTTGAGAGAGCTAATGATTTAGCTGATTACGTTAAAAAGAAATTAATAATAAGATAAAAATTTTGAACTTTTGTACCCTAGTTTTCTGGCGTAAGACAGCATTTTTACAACCTTGAGATAAAAAGCAATATTTGTTGGCAGACATAAAAAATTGCTACAACACTTGCACTTCTGATTTGTAAAGATCTTTACCCTATTTTTATTGTGGAGTAGTTCCTGTATATGTCCGTTTTCAGAAAAATAAAATCGTGACGAACTCTAAAACTACAAGTGTTAAAATTAACATCATTCAACTCCCAAATCATCTCACTCACTTTCAAGAACTTCAAAAAATTCCAATAATTCTAGGATTCTTGCTAGAATGAATATCTATACGAGCCACCTTCAAAGGTATTTATATATAGTATGAATTTACGGTTCTAAATATGGACAAGTTAGATGAAATTTGGAGGATTAAAATGGGTTGAATCAATAAATAAGAAGGTCAATTAACTCGCTCAAATATTACTTGGGTTGAGATTAGCCGGGTCAAAATGGCTAGAGCCATAGCCTAACAATCTAACTAAGTTTTAATTTCTTTGTTTGTTTTCTTATTATTTACTTAATTACAAATGAAACTAATGGAGTAAAAAAAAAAAAGAGAAGTAAATTATCACTTTTAGCCCGTGTCAGAAACTATTTACATCTGATAGCCAAAAAGTGTATAAAATTTTTATAATTTTTATATATAACATACAAAATGTATATATATATATACAAAAAGTATATAAATTTGATACATTTTTTTGACTATAATTTTTACAATGACTATACAATGTAATTTTTCCTTAAAAAATCTCCTTTATAGTTATATCAAACATAAATATAATTTATCCCAATTAATCTAACTCTTTGATGGTTTGACTTGAGCTGTGCCCAAGTTGACCCGTCAAAAGAATTGTCCATCGTAATAACATGAGCAGATTTAGTGAGTCACATTATAGTGACCTAATCCGCCCCCACCACATATATATATAGAGAGAAAAGAAAGAAATTAAAGAGAAGACAAATAAAAACAACAAATTGTCATTATAGTTTATGATCTTTACATAATATACAAAAGGTTTTCTTAATATACATATGAACCCCTCTAATGATTTTGCCTAAGAGTACATGTCCCCATCCTTGGCACAGGGATAAAACTAAATCACTACTATTGATACTACTATTATTTCTTTTTATCTCTTTGGATTTTTTTCTTCTAACATGATTGGTTTAATTGACTGGTTGGTTGGTAGGTTGGCTAGCTTGTCCGAAACCTCTAAATTAGAAGCAAAGGTTTCACCATGGACTCTTCGCGAATATTCTACTAAAATTTGTACAAATAAAAAAAACAAAATACAGCTCCACCAAATCTAACATCCTAGTACTATAGACATGATACATTTGTAAACATGCACGTAAAAAACACTAACGTTGTGAAAAGCTAGAATTAATTCCTTGGCTATGTCCCTTCGGCCATTCATTATATTTTTCATCTGGGATTAATCTTGGTTATTAATGATCACTGCTTGTTTTCCATGTCATCTATGGTGTTAAACACCTCTAATTCAACATCATTAAAGCAATTATCAAAACCAAAGTCATGAATACCAAAATCTTGACAATCCAATAGCCAATTCAAACTGTCGTCCCAGGATGCCATGTTATCGAATTTTTTTTGTTCTTCACAAGATACTGGAAGTTCCCATAGCGAATCGACAAGAGGAGCATCAACTTCCAGTAGGGAGCTTAGCAGCGGATCATTTTCACCGAGGGCGTTGAGAACCAACTTGGATTCATCGGTGATACTTGAAGAGTTTTCAGACGAAGAAATAGAAGAAGCGGAGTAAGATGAGTTATCTAACTCTGAGGAGGTGGCTGCTGCAGTGACACTTGTACACTCGGGTACAACTTGTACCTGCTGATGACCATTATTTTTGTTTTGATCAGATTCTGGGATAGGTTGATCAATTAGATTTGCTTCTTTTTTGAGTGGTTCATGTGTAACAGGATCAATCCCCATCTTTAGAAGCTTTTTTTTAATATGAGTGTTCCAATGATTTTTAATCTCATTATCTGTCCTTCCTGGTAATCTTGCAGCAATCTTGGACCACCTTATTAAAACAAATTAAATATTTAGTACCATATAATTAGTGTTATAAATTGTTTGAAAATCAGAATGAAGACAAACTAATAAAGCAAAGATAAGGGAAAAGATCTACTATTTCAAGTCCACTTCAAGAAGACATGTAATAGATTGATAAGATAATTAGAGCACTTCCTTTTGAAGCCAGAATATTTTAATATTAACTTAGTACATTACTTGACAATGCAGAAAATCATGAACAACAAAGTAAAAGTAGTAATCAAGAAGATTCATTAAATCAGAAATAAATATTCAATCAGAAATCATGGCATATGATATGCTGTTAACTTGTTTTTTTTTTCTTTATACACAAAAGCCATGCACTTTAAAGAGCAACAAAAGCTTTCGAAATACTAGCATTATGAGTTTAATATGTTAGGATTTTGCCCTTAATTTTTAATCCATTGGAATTCTGTTTCTTGAAAAAAAAGAGAATAAATTTCATGGAGGAAGATTTTTACACTTTTATAAATTGAGGATTTCTGCTACTCATAACAACAACAATAATATCCACAATGTAGTCATTAAAGGATTCTTATTTATTTAAGGAAGAATTTATTCTCTCAATTAGTTTTTTTCTTCTTTTAATAGTAGGAGATTTATGTAGGTTGACCAAATCATATTAATATAATATGTTTTTTTTGGTATATTTTCTTTTGTGTCTGATTTATCGTCTACCAAACTTTATATTGTTAGCTTTCACATGCATTATGTTATATCGATCCCAACACAATCATAACTCGTGGCAGAGAAACTTTCCCTTTTGCCTTTCTTTCTGTGGCATGAAAATGCACATAGAGAAAAAAAAAAAAACCATGCAACCTAAGAGAAAGGGAAGACAAATGGATAAAAAGGCCGAAAATAAACTCATCATTAGTAATGCTTAAAAACAATAAATAAAAAACTCTAACACAAACATAGTAATTTCAATGGACTTTCTCATAACAAAATCACCACATAATAGATGGATATAAGCCGTTTAGCTCAGTTTGTAATTAGTAAATTAATTTATTAAACATCTTAAGTTTATGGTTCTTATTGATAATAAACAAGTTTCTCCTTACGACAGGACGGCTCAGTCCAAACAAGTTTCTGCATGTTTTATTAGAATAGAAAAAGAGAGAAGTATATTACCTGTTTCCAAGACGAGCATGGAGATCAATTACCAATTTCTCCTCAGCATCACTAAGAAGTCCTCTCTTCAAGTCGGGTCGAAGGTAATTAGTCCATCGGAGACGACAACTCTTACCGCAGCGCCTAAGACCGGCGAGTTTAGGGACAGCACGCCAACAACATTGGCCATTTGTAAGAATAAAATTGATGAGTTTCTTGTCTTCATCAGCTGTCCACGGACCTTTCTTCACTCCAAGTTTGTCACAACAAGGTTGTCTTCCCATTATTACTACTACTCTCAACTACCACCAAACAAACAAGTTGATTTATTTTTTACAAAGTGTTTGATAAATTTGCCTTCTACCCACCTTTATATATAATCCACCAACTTCAGCTTTTCTTGTAAAGTCCTCACTTTTCTCTTTGAAAATTTGTTTAAGCACATATATTTTGATTAATGGAAGGGTATGCCTATATATATATATATATATAGTGAGAGAGAATGTAAGATTCCATGGCCCACCTATGGTTTGTGAAAGCAACTCTTGAACTACAATTCCTTTTCTGGTGTTATCAACTCCACCCAAGAGAGAGTGATAGTGAATGATAGATGACCCTAACACCAAGCTAAAACTCAAGAAATCCACTATTCTTCTTCCCTTTTTCTTAATCATTTGATATTCGATATTTATTGGCTCGACTAATTCAGATACGTGCTATATATGACTCATTAAACAAAAAACGTTCTCTATATTAGGAATTTCTTCATTCTGTGACGTAGGGTAGGATTTCTTATAAGCGTGTTCAAAAAAGGAAAAGCTCAGACATTTAAAAAGACTGTGGTCAGTGAGAATTAAACCAACGATCTTACAAAGGTTTTGAACCCCCTTGACCGTTGAGCAATGCTTTAATTTGGGACATCAAGGAAATTCAAAATATTAAATATAGAAGTACAAACTAGATTTTACCTTATATATACAGTTTAATTTTCTGACAAAGAGGGTTCGAATTAACCCCTTCTGTCTCATATATCTGCCCCTGTTTCCATTCACAAACTCGAACTTAAAACCCTAAATCAAAGGTGAAAGGATATCATCCTTCTATTACGCCTCTAGTGGTATTCTTATTACTCTTTAACCATTGCCCCACACTCCGAAAGATATATGGTCTGTTCTTTTTATTGTTTCTTTTCTTATTTTTTTCTTCCCATTTTCATACACTATGTACTCTCCGTGATTGCACGCTTACTCAACCATTTCGTCATCGCCACGTTTACGGGACCTTTCAAACATGGGAAGTAATCTCGTACTATGTTTACCATGATAACATTAATTTAGCCGAATTGTTTGATCTGTTTACTTTTGATGAGTTTTTCAAATCATCTATCTCATCAAAAAACTTAAGTTAAATTATTAGATGAATAATTACACAATTCAATATAGTATTAAACAATATTTTAAAATGTATGGGCGTAAGGCAAAACGTTTTCTTCAGTGAAGCGTAAGCCTCATGGATATTTAATTTTAATATTTTATAAAATAACATAATTACAGTAAGTATTTAGTAATAGATAAATTACATAAAAATTGAAGAAAACTATAAATATGTGAAAAATATATATAGATGTGCTCCATCTCAACAAAAAATTAGTCATACAATCTATTATACGCTACTTACAAGCACATGTAACTTAAGTCGAAAAGAATAAAGTTTTCTACATGGAGGAACAAAAAGGATGACTAACTTGTAATTTGAACTTTGAACTTGCTACTATGAAGGAGAATGAATTTCTCTTTATGTTTGTACAAAAAAATTTAATACTTGCTTTTGGAAATATTAACAGACTAGCGGACAAGATAAAGAATTGGGAAAGACCATAAATTAGGGCTTCAATCAATAAAAAAAAAAGTCTTCACTTTTAAATTTAATATATTTCAATTCCTTTTTAAAGCTTTTGAGTAATTACAAGCTCACTTTTGAGAATTTGAGTATTATATGAAGGACGTATTCAACAAATTTTATTTTAATTTGAAAAAGTCTCTGGAGCTTACGCTTCACTACAAAAATGTGCCTCAAACGCTGTCACGACCCCAATTCGCCCTCCGTGAACTATCGTGGTGACACCTAGTCTCTACGACTAAGTAAGCCTAACAAATGCGGAAAAGAAACAATTTGCAGGAAGAAAATAATATAAAACCGAGATAACAAAATGAAATAGTTTTTAAGATGCCTCCCAGCATATAACAGTACAAGAATCTCAACTTAACACTCCCAAAATCTGAAACCCTATGAATCACAAGCTAAGAGATACATAAGAAGCTCTAACTCCAGAAATGTCTAACAAAAGGAAAATACAGAAGGGCTATACTATTACAGAAAGATAGAAAGGGACTCCTTGGTCTGCGGATGCGACAGATATACCTCAAAGTCTTTACAGAAGTGCCTCGCCTCAAGGATGATAAGATCGAGTGGAAGTACCTGGATCTGCACATGAAAAACATGCGCAAAAAGGGCATGAGTACACCACAACGGTACTCAGTAAGTGCCAAGCCTAACCTCGGCCGGGTAGTGACGAGGAAGGTCAGAGCCCTACTTAGGTTAAATAAAATATAAGCCCTACTTAGGTTAAATAAAATATAAGGTATGGCAGTGTAGAATAAGGCAGTATAAAAAGGTACAACAGTAAAAGTAATACAAGATAGAAAGAACATCAACAACTACAACAAAGACAAAAATAAACACAGAAAAGGAATACAACTCAACACAGAGATAATAATCGGGGATCTTCCAGGATACCGTCCTGTAGTCCCAAATATAAATATCCAGTGGATCTCCCAGGATACCGTTCTGTAGTCCAACTCATAATGCAAGGGGATCTCCCGGAATACCGATCCGTAGTCCCGAATGTAAATACTCAATACAGGGAGAATCTACCGGGTGAAGTCCCGTAGTTCCAATATAAATGTGTAGGGAGATCTCCCGGAATACCGTTCCATAGTCTCAAAGTAAACATACAGGGGGGATCTCCCGGGATACTGTCCCGTAGTCCCAAAGTAACACACAACAACAACAAGAAGAATACACAGTTCAATTCAAATTCCATACCAAGGTAAAATAGGTATTTCTAGCTTAGCATGCTGCTAGTAATCCAAATAAGGCAGTTTGAGTAAGTAAAGCAATTAGACATGCTTCCTTAAGCTAACAACATGCTTAAATTACAAGTAGTACAAACATGAAAGAAACATAATTGTAATGACTTAATGAAAACCGGATTTCAACAATTAGCACAAGTATGCACTCGTCACATCACGTACAAGACATTTCAAATATCAATAATACCCAATCCTAAGGGGAGTTCCCCCACACAAGGTTAGGCAAGTCACTTATCTCGAACTGGCTCAAAATCAACCCGAAACAACGTTCTTGCCATGAGTACTCAACTCCAAATGGCCCAAATTTATTCAATTCAATTGTATAATATAAATAACACTTCAAGTAACTGATTCTACAATTAAATTCTAAGCTAATACGCGAAATTAGGTAAAATGACCAAAGAGCCCCTCGGGCCCACGTCTCGGAATCGGCTAAAATTTACATTTTGAGAATCCTCACACTCTCACGAGTTCATGCATACCAAAATTATCCCAATCCGATATCAAAATCTAGATCAAAATTCCAAAAGTTAAGCCTAGGAACTTTTCCCAATTTTCTCCAAGTTTTCTTCCCAAATTCGAATTCAAAGGATGAATTTAAGCATAGATTCGTGGAAATTAATCAAAACCGAGTAAGAATTACTTACCCAAAACACCCAGGTGAAAATCCCTCTCAAAATCGCCATCACTGAGCTCCCAAATCAATTTTCCAAGCTTTTTGATTAAACCCTCGATTCTGTCCCTTTTCTGCTAGTGAAACCGCTTATGCGGCTCCGGAACCGCACCTGCGGTCCCGCTTCTGTGAAGACCCAGTCGCATCTGTGATATTTCATTATAAAGGGGGTTTCCGCACCTGTGACTGCTTCCGCAGATGCAGTGCCTTGACCACATCTGCGGTCCAACCCCATTTCGCCTCAAATTGCATATGCGGTGCTTCAACTGCTTCTGCGGACTCGCACCTGCGGTTCCCTAGCCGCAAGTGCGATTATGACAGCAGACTGAAGCTAACTCTCAACTCCAAATTTCCCGTTAACCATACGAAATCATGCCCAGACCCCTGAGAACTCAACTAAAAGCACGAACAAGTCATATACCACTATCCAAACTTATATCAATCCTTAAAACACCTAAAACAACATTGAAACATCGAATTAACCATGGATTCAAGACTAAGAACTTCAAAACTCTCAATTTATGCTTTCGATCAAAAAGTCTATCAACCATCATCCGAATGACATGAAATTTTGCACACACGTCACATTCAACACTACGGAGCTACTCCAACATCCGGAATCCCATTCCGAACCTTAAATCAAAATCTCACTATCTAACTGGAAACTTTCAAAAATTCAACTTTCGGCATTTCAACCCTAAATTAGCTACGGACCTCCAAAACACAATCTGATCACGCCCCTAAGCTCGAAATTACTCAACGGAGCTAACAGAACTAACGAAACTCCATTCCGATATCGTCTTCATACTGCTCCGACTACTGTCCAATTTCTAGAACTTAAACTCTCATTTAGGGACTAAGTGTCCCAAAAACTCTCCGAAACTCAAAACTAAATATCCCGGCAAATCAGATTAGCAGAAAAAAACATAGGGAAAACGGTTAATAAGGGATCGAGGCGTAAATTCTTAAAATGACCAGCCGGGTCGTTACATCTTCCCACACTTAAACATTTGTTCGTCCTCGTACGAGCATAGAGACATACCTGAAGTAGTAAAAAGATGAGGGTAACAGTTGCGCATATCCTGCTCGGTCTCCCAAGTCACCTCCTCGACCGGCTGACCCCGCCACTAAACCTTTACTGATGCAATGTTCTTTGACCTCAGCTTTCGAACGTGCCTGTCCAATATCGCCATTGACTCCTCAACATAAGATAGATCCTTGTCCAACTGGACTGAACTGAAATCTAACACGTGCGACGGATCATTGTGATACCTCTGGAGCATCAAAACATGAAATACCGGATAAACTCCTACCAAACTGGGAGGTAAGGCAAGCTCATAAGCAACCTCCCCAACACGTCTCAATATCTCAAAAGGACCAATAAACCTCGGACTCAATTTCCCTTTCTTCACAAATCTCATAACGCCCTTTATAGGCGAAACCCGAAGCAGAACCCGCTCTCCAACCATATAGGAAACATCACGAACCTTCCGGTCCACGTAACTCTTTTTTCTAGATTGGGATGTACGGATTCTATCCTGAATTACCTTAACCTTCTCCAAAGCATCCTGAACTAAGTTTGTGCCCAATCATCTGGCCTCGCCCGGCTC